CACAAATTTTAGTTCATTATCAAAATGATTTATTCTTCCATAATCCACAGAGTAATTTTACTTGTTTTATCTTATGTTCCTCTTGCAGATGGAGCGCCAATTCAATCCAATTACTTCAACTCGAATTCCTGTGTATATTCACTCGCTGATTTTCCAGGTACAACGACCGGACTCACCTGCGGCCATGTTGCTGAAGTGGCCATCGGGTTGTGGTCCGTGTTTTTTTTTTAAATTATTACTTTGTGATTTTTATGTAGGGTGAATAAAGACATTTTTTGCACAAAACTCTGTTTCCGTAACAGCTTTCTCAAGGACACACACACACACACATACATACACAAGCACACACACACACTCTTGATAAACGGCATCTTAAGTATTCAAGAAATGCATTTTAACCTTTTAGAAAGGACTGATCAATACCTCTGAAAATTCACATTCACCCAAGATTGTCGATGGCAGAAGGGTGAGGTGTACCCAGGGCAGGATTTGAAGGGGCTAGGGTCAGTTGCCCGAGCCCCCTGCTAGAGGACCCCCAGGTAAGGGACTTCCTTGTAAAAAAATGTAGCTATTATAAATTTGATTTCATAATTTAAACGAATTAACAAAATGTGTGTTGGTCATCAGCAAATAGAAAGCCAGACTGCTTCCATCCTTTTGAATATCTCGGTTAGCTGGTAATAGTAAAATACAAAGGAAAATTATTAGACAGTGTTAATCTAGAAATCATAATATTGAATAGATCTATACTACCATGATGATTAAAAATGTAGGTATGATAACCCACTTATTAACATCAATGTAATTCATGTAATATAAGATGAACATATCACTGAGGCCAGTCTTACAAATTGAATATTGTAGTCAGTTTTTCTTCCTGTCAACTGAAATGAGAAAAATAAGAAATGAAGTTTTCGTCGGCAGCTTACGTAAATCTATTCATTTATTTATATACAGAAAGGCGGTGTACCATTTATCTAAGTTCATTTATTTGCCATGATTTAATTTTGATGTTGAAGGGTCCTCGAACCAGGCTCCAGGTTCTAAATCCAACAATGGATGTAGCATCGAAATGACGATGGCTAGCAAGAAAAAATATTTTAAGTAGTTTTATATTATTTTTTAGTAGTTTTGTATCATTCTTAAAAAGTTTTACATTATTTATCTTTTGTAGTTTTATATTATATTTAAGTAGTTTCACATTATCTAACGTATTAACAAATAGTCATATTTTAATCGTTGGCAGTATTCCAAGTAATAGAATAAATGATGGAAGCATTAATAATACTTCAAACGGTAATAGTGTTTGCGTTAAAAAAGTAATAACACAAATGATAAAGATATCAGAATGTTAATAACACGATAATTTGTAGGAAAGTTAATAAGCCTAATATCACATAATAATTTATTAATAAATAGCAGTTCGTTAGCATATTCAGAATAAATATAATAAGTTAATTGAATAAATTAGTGACACACAGTCTATAAATATACAGAATGCACATACAAATGTGCATTTTGAATAAGTTAATTCATAAATATTTATCCTACACAATCATTTACAGGTTTGGTAATAGGTCTATCACCTAATAGTAATTAATAAGTATGAGTTTCAGTCTACCATGAACCATATGTTCATAATAAATATAATGAATTCGATAAATGAATTAGCAGTATTTAGTCATATAAAATACATGCTTTAAATAAATATAATAAGTTACATTAATAAATAGTTATTCCTACTATACACAGGAAAGACTCAGTCATCTCTAATAACATTGGTGAGGACGCACTGGAAGTTGCCCTTGCTGAGGCTGCCTTCCAGCGAGCTGAAAGCAAAGACAGGGATGAACGGGAACCTCTTGAGGTCCAGCGACAGTTTCTGCAGATCGGGCAGACACAAGAGGGACGTGAGGGCTTGGGCTGACAGCGATCCGGCACCCAGGAAGATGGAACTCAGCCGATGAAGACTGTTGTGCTTGAGGAATGTGGCAAGGACCGTGTCAGTAAGAGCATCTTGGTTGACGTCTAGAACAAGGGATTCCAGAGACTCGTTGCCGGACAAAAGGGTTTCCAGGGAGGCTGGCTGGATCACCGCGCTGGACAGGACGAGTTCCTTGAGTTCCGGGAGGGCGATGGTGTTCCTGGAGTGCAGATGATCCCCAGGATTAGAGGATATGTTGACGTGTTTCATCTCCAGACGTTGAAGGTGTGGACAGTGTTCCTGGATGGTCTTGATAGTGTCCAGAGAGATAGTATGGTAGGAGTACTCCTCAAACTCCACTTGCAGTTCCAACAGGTTCTTGCCAAGAGCCTTGACGGCAGACACAATAAGTTCCTCGGAGACAAGTCGAAGGTTCAAGGCTGTTAGTTCTTTAAATTCCGAAAGAACATCGAGAGACGTGAGGGATGGGTCGAAGCACTCAATCATGAGTTTTTGCAGACGTGGACAAAGCTTTTGTAAATTCCGTAGACTGTGTTCAGTGGGCTGCCACTTTGCCAAAGAGGTGAGGGAAAAAGATCCAATGGTGGAGTTGATCTGATTGAGGAAGAGCAGAGTCTCGCCGATGGGAGAACTCCACGTGGTGTACTGGATTTGTTGGAATTGCGAAGAGACACCCAACAGGATCAAAGCACCACAAGCAGAAAGACGAGGAGACTCGACCGACAGGTAGCGGAGAGACTGCAGTGCTGCAGGTTGCAGTTCCTTGACGTCTCCGCCATTGCAGATGATGTTGCCAAGGGTGTTGAAGTCTGTCCTTGTTCCTACTAGAGCACTCACGACATCCTCGTCAGAGACGTTGCAGGAGTCCAAGTGGAGAGAGCGCAAGGCACAAGGCTTTTCTTGAAGGTGTGTGAGGACTTGACTGCAAAGTTCCCCCGACGCACGAACGGAGTGGAGACGAGGAGATCGACCCATTATGCTGGACAAGAGGCCTTCCTCCATCGTTATGCTCTCCAGACTGAGAGTTTCCATCCTGAAGTGCGGCACATCTTTGACCAGCTGTAGTATTTCACGGCAGTCGTCTGTGTCAAGGTGCACGAGGTCGTCAGCCTTAAGACTGATGTGCCTGACGTCTGTGAGAAGGTGCAGCGTCAGGAGTACCTTGAAGTCCTGTGGTGAGTTTATCTTCATGGTGGATGCGACCTTCTTCATCACAGCTGTTCTTACATCCAGTGGCAGAGACGAAGCAAGAATTTCACAGAAGGTCCGCACATTCTCCTGTAAATATAACAATACAAATTAGATCACGATCACAAAAATATGATAACAGATCTAATGAAGAAATGATATCACGTATGCTTCGATGTTTACGTTCATGAACCAAACAGATGTTAATAGTACGTACCGTGAATTGATGAAGGGATGTATTTTGGCTGACCAGGCTAGACACACGATCCATAACGATGTCACGGAGTCGTTGTGGCTGTTTGTGTGGGGCCATACCGCGCCATTCTGAAGAAGGAAAGAACCTTGAATTCCCTTTCCATCAATTATATCTGGTCATAAGAAGTATTTCGGAACACTTCTAAAATGAGTGAGCAAACGAATCGATAAGGAATATCCTGTAAAATTTACAAGCACTTTCTACCTACACTTGGAACTCTATTGCCGTTGAATAAAGAAAGAAAAACAGTGATTAACTTACCTGAACTTGTCGATGGCTCCGCAGTTTTACATTCCTCTCTGTCGTACATGTTTCAAAGTGTGTATGTGTATTTCTCACTATCTATCAGTATTCTCACAACCACTCCAGAGGTCTTGCTTCTTGCTGATCCGCTAAACCAATGACCAAGACCGCCAGCGGGCTCCTATATATACCGAATCGCCATCTCCGGGTACAGGCGAGTTCGTGCGTTCGTGTGCTGGTCGAGTGGCGGGGATGAGTTAGTGCAACGGTTCTCGTGTCTTTGGGATCAGGCGGTGTAGAGGTTGTACACACACACATACACACACACACACACACACACACACACACACCAACACACATACACACAAACATACACACACAAACGAATACACGCACACTCTTGATAAACGGGATCTTAAGTATTCAAGAAATACATTTTAACCATTTTAGAAAGGTCTGATCAGTACCTCTGAAAATTCACATACACCCAAGATTGTTGTTGGCAGGAGGGTGAGGTGTACCCAGGGCAGGATTTGAGGGGGGCATAGGGGTCAGTTGCCCCGAGCCCCTCTGCTAGAGGGACCCCCAGGTAAGGGACTTCCTGTGTTAAAAAAGGAATTATAAATTTGGTTTTACTATTTAAAGGAATTAACAAAATGTGTGTTGGTCACCAGGAAACATAGGCAGACAGCTTCCATCCTTTAAAAGTCTCGGTGGATTAGTAATAGTAAAATACAAAAGAAACATATTAGATAGTGTTAATCTAGAAATCACAATAATGAATGGATCTATACTACCATGATGATTAAACATGAATTTAAGATATCCTATCTATTAATTCCAATTTAATTATTATAACAAGAGTATCACACATCTGAGGTGAGTCTTAAAAATTTAATATTGGTCAGGTGTTTTTCATGTTAACTGAGGTGAGAGAAATTTCATAAATCTATCTATTTATCTATATACATCTATATATTGATACATATACATATACATACACTTATACATACATGTGTATATATATATTTTTATCTAAGAAAGGTGGTGTACCATTGATCTAAATTCTTTTATTCGCCAAGTTGATTCAATTTCGATGTTAAAGGGTCCTCGAACCGGCTCCAAGTTCTAACTCCAGCAATGGATGTAGCACCAAAATGACGATGGCTACCGGGAAAAAATATTTTTGAGTAATTTTCTAATATTTTCTATTATTTCTAAATAGTTATATATATATATATATAATATTATATATATATATATATATATATATATATATATTTTAGTTTTATATTATTTAACGTACTATTAACGAGCAGTTATATTTTAATCACCGGGAGTATTCCAAGTGGTCATGATCATGATAATATTAGTAACATCATAAATGAAGAAATGTAATAATACCTAAAGTGGTAATAGTGTTTGTGATAACAAGTAATAACACAAATGATAAAGATAACAAAATGTTAATAACACGATAATTTGTAGGGAAGTTAATAAGCCTAATATCACATAATAATTTATTAATAAATAGCAGTTCGTTAGCATATTCAGAATAAATACAATAAGTTAGTTAAATAAATTAGCGACACATGGTCTATAAATATACAGAATGCACATACAAATGTGCATTTTAAATAAGTTAATTCATAAATAATACTCAATCATTTACAGATTTGGTAACGTCTATCATCTAATAGTAATAAATATGTTTCAGTCTACCATGAACCATATGTTCATAATAAATATAATGAATTCGATAAATAAGTTAGCAGTATTTAGTCATACAAAATACATGCTTTAAATAAATATAATAAGTTACATTAATAAATAGTTATTCCTAATATACATAGGAGAGACTCAGTCATCTCTAATAATATTGGTGAGGATGCACTGGAAGTTGCCCTTGCTGAGGCTGCCTTCCAGCGAGGTGAAAGCAAAGACAGGGATGAACGGGAACCTCTTGAGGTCCAGCGACAGTTTCTGCAGATCGGGCAGACACAAGAGGGACGTGAGGGCTTGGGATGACAGCGATCCGGCACCCAGGAAGATGGAACTCAACCGATGAAGACTGTTTTGCTTGAGGAATGTGGCGAGGACCGTGTCAGTAAGAGCATCTTGGTTGACGTCTAGAACAAGGGATTCCAGAGACTCGTTGCCGGACAAAAGGGTTTCCAGGGAGGCTGGCTGGATCACCGCGCTGGACAGGACGAGTTCCTTGAGTTCCGGGAGGGCGATGGTGTTCTTGGAGTGCAGATGATCCCCAGGATTAGAGGATATGTTGACGTGTTTCATCTCCAGACGTTGAAGGTGTGGACAGTGTTCCTGGATGGTCTTGATAGTGTCCAGAGAGATAGTATGGTAGGAGTACTCCTCAAACTCCACTTGCAGTTCCAACAGGTTCTTGCCAAGAGCCTTGACGGCAGACACAATGAGTTCTTCGGAGACAAGTCGAAGGTTCAAGGCTGTTAGTTCTTTAAATTCCGAAAGAACATCGAGAGACGTGAGGGATGGGTCGAAGCACTCAATCATGAGTTTTTGCAGACGTGGACAAAGCTTTTGTAAATTCCGTAGACTGTGTTCAGTGGGCTGCCACTTTGCCAAAGAGGTGAGGGAAAAAGATCCAATGGTGGAGTTGATCTGATTGAGGAAGAGCAGAGTCTCGCCGATGGGAGAACTCCAGGTGGTGTACTGGATTTGTTGGAGATTGCGAAGAGACACCAACAGGATCAAAGCACCACAAGCAGAAAGACGAGGAGACTCGACCGACAGGTAGCGGAGAGACTGCAGAGCTGCAGGTTGCAGTTCCTTGACGTCTCCGCCGTTGCAGATGATGTTGCCAAGGGTGTTGAAGTCTGTCCTTGTCCCTACTAGAGCACTCACGACATCCTCGTCAGAGACGTTGCAGGAGTCCAAGTGGAGAGAGCGCAAGGCACAAGGCTTTTCCTGAAGCTGTGTGAGGACTTGACTGCAAAGTTCCCCCGACGCACGAACGGAGTGGAGACGAGGAGATCGACCCATTATGCTGGACAAGAGGCCTTCTTCCATCGTTATGTTCTCCAGACTAAGAGTTTCCATCCTGAAGTGCGGCACATCTTTGACCAGCTGTAGTATTTCATGGCAGTCGTCTGTGTCAAGGTGCACGAGGTCGTCAGCCTTAAGACTGATGTGCCTGACGTCTGTGAGAAGGTGCAGCGTCAGGAGTAACTTGAAGTCCTGTGGTGAGTTTATCTTCATGGTGGATGCGACCTTCTTCATTACAGCTGTTCTTACATCCAGTGGCAGAGACGAAGCAAGAATTTCACAGAAGGTCCGCACATTCTCCTGTGGATATAATAATACAAATTAGATCACGATCAAAAATATGATAACAGATCTAATTAAGAAATGATCACGTATGCTTCGATGTTTACGTTCATGAACCAAACAGATGTTAATAGTACGTACCGTGAAATGATGAAGGGATGTATTTTGGCTGACCAGGCTAGACACACGATCCATAATGATGTCACGGAGCCGTTGTGGCTGTTTGTGTGGGGCCATACCGCGCCATTCTGAAGAAGGAAAGAACCTTGAATTCCCTTTCCATCAATTATATCTGGTCATAAGAAGTATTTCGGAACACTTCTAAAATGAGTGAGCAACGAATCGATAAGAAATATCCTGTAAAATTTACAAGCACTTTCTACCTACACTTGGAACTCTATTGCCGTTGAATAAAGAAAGAAAAACAGTGATTAACTTACCTGAACTTGTCGATGGCTCTGCAGTTTTACATTCCTCTCTGTCGTACATGTTTCAAAGTGTGTATGTGTATTTCTCACTATCTATCAGTATTCTCACAACCACTCCAGAGGTCTTGCTTCTT